CAAGGAAAGCCCCAGAGCAAGTCCAGTAACATGTTAAAGGACGCCAATCAACAAATGCATTTTGTAACATATATAGCAAAAGAAAGAGACAAGAAAATTAGGAAAAACACAATATAAAGGTGAGGGAAGGGAAAACACAGGAAAGGGAAGCGAGGCAAATGTGAGTCAAAATTCATGAGGCAAGAGGCAGTTGGAAGAGAAAACACAAAAGGAGGTCTAGTTTCTGCTAAAGCTAAAAGCAGAACCTTAAATGAAAAGGAGGAACCTATTTCACTACAAAGTGGTGTATGAGCAGTGCAGGACTCTTCAACTTGAGAACACTGGTGAGTCCCGGTGAGAGACGTTTTCCCTGTGCACTTGCAGAAGAGCACAGTGTCAAAGCTGACAGGCAGGATGCCAGGTACCAAGGCAGGACAGCGCTCACTCTGTTGCTTCTTGCCCCAGTCACATACAAGACTGCCGTTGTTTCTGAACAAACAACTCAGTAAAGGGCAAAATCATTTTGTCCCTCACCTGCAACTCCTGGGTTTCAATTTTGAGGCAACAAGCTCAGTATATACTGATGACCTACATTTCCCCAGTAACACCAGATTAGTACCAGGACCTACATGAGGTCCATTTCAGGTGTAATCTTACCTGTACCCTTATATTGAGGGTCATAATGTCTGCATTATGGCAAGTCTGAAACACTTCCATTGTTCTTTTTCCACACCTTTGAGGGAAAAGAACAGACAATTCTTCAAGCATTTTCTGACAAAAATGCTTGCTGTCAACAGCACTACAGTTTTTCAAGGACCTCCATAGCAAAATTCACCTACAGTTTATTCTCCCTGCTAGTCCTCAGCTCTCCTTGGCCACTTTAACCAGATGGAGGAAACACCGAAGACAGGTGTGGGTGTGAGGAGTTTCTTTACCACAACCCACCAATTAGGAAGGAGATAATCTCCTGCTTTTCTTCTGGTCATGCATATAGTCTTAAGGATCAAATGAAGACACAACACCACCACCCATGCCTTACATCCTTGCCAGACCAGGAAGGAGTCATCTCCAATTCTTCTTCTGTTAGCAACAATGCCCCTCACTTAAAGGCCAGAGGAAAGCCCCAGCTGTGATGGAAAAGCACCATTTCTTTCCCATCCCCATCAAACAGAATAACCCTGCCTAACCAAGAAATGTTTCAGAAATAAGTATATTGCACAACACAAAAGAAAGAACTGAAAATGGGGAATGGTCACCTGTGAAAGAGAGGCACTAGCAAGCTGGAGGTGCCCAAAGGTAAAACGGCACTTTGAAGGACCACAGGAAATAATTAAAAGGAAAGAGAAACATGCACCTGATGAGAGCATAGGTTATCAGATGCAAAGAATATTCACATATATAGGTATGATTAATTGTGAGAATAAGTGATTATATTCCCATCTAGAATGCAGAAGTGAAGTGTTGTGTAAAAATGACATTAATCTCCCTCGATGGGTACATTATTTCCACTGAATTCTACCTGTCATTTCAAGTTGCTTTCAATATATTTTATTGTATATTTTTTTCACATTTTCAGTACTCTATTGCCAAAGATTCTGAAACATCAAAATTAATCAGCAGCCTGGACCATAGCCAGGTACAACAAATAAGGAAGCAGGCAGTTTTGATATTCTCCCAATCTAGATGGATGTATAACTCACATTTATTGGTATGGGAGGATCTGGGGCTGCTCAGAGAAATAAAAAAGAAGAAGGAAAAAATAACACCGTGTGCATTGTTGCAAGAAACCAATGGGCACTGTCAATGAACAAATGGCTACTGCTTCTGTTTCAAAGCATTTGTTTGACTCGTTGCTTGGAGATCAGAAAAGTGGAGAGCCCAGGACACACTCCTCTCAGACTGGGTAAATCACCAGGAACTGCATCAGATGCAATGACATTACACCAGTGTAACTGAGCGAGGTCTCTGAGGGTTACTGAAAATACCTGGGCTCCATACATAGAACCTGCTCTGAAGGCCTGACTGCAGATTCAAAGGCACTCCTTTAACGGAGGAAAAATAAATATTTTTGCTTAATTACCCCTGAAGGACAGCCTGCTGTGATGAAGAAAAGCTTCCTCCTCATAAAAGTACATTACCTACCCTACCCCTGCTGCCTGTCGTAGAGTGCTGTTATTTAGCACACTGGAAACGAACTGGGTAGAGGATTGCCTGTTAGATGACACTGCCTGTGCTAACTTCTCACCAGCACCGATAAGCACAACAACTGGAAGTTAACGCTGATGGGAAAGAGAGAAGACCTGAAGCAGAGGCAGAGCAGTTCCCACCAACCATGAGACAGCCGAGATGCTTCAGTAGAAGGAGAAGGAACTTTTTTGGAAAGCTTTCCTCCTCCAACTCCCCTTTGTCCAACAATTCTAGAGAAGTTTGTGGTGGCAGCAGCTGGGCTAGCCTGGAGTTTGAGCCGGGCTCTCCTCCCCGTGCAGGTACCAGCGGGGCTCCTTTTCTGCATGCTTCTGCATTGAAACAAGATTAAAAATGATGTTAAGAGAGGCAGTCTCCTGCCAGCCACTATCCCCAGGCTCAGAGAAAGGCTGCAACAACCAGCGCAGTGACAGGAATTTCATGCTGAGCAGCAGTACCGAGAGGACACTACCATTTTTCCCTGCTTTTTAAAGTGATGCAGAGATGTCAGAATCGAGGGGACTTAAAGGACCCATTACAGCAAAGCTCTTTGACAAATAAGTAAAACATGAAGGTAGCTCCCTTTGCAGAGAGAGCAGTGGAAAAGGACAGGGAGAGGACTAAGGAGCAGGAACACTATTTTCATTATGGATTTTGACTGTTTTGAGAACCTGCCTCCTAAGGCACCTTAGTTATTAGCAGCAGCTTATGTTTATGAGGGTATGTTTGCACTGCTCCACTGCACCTGCTAATTGATGGACTTCCCTATTTGCCAGTGAGGAAACCAGGAATGGGCTTTCTTGATGACATACCCCATGCCCTGGCTACTATTTAAGAGCCATATCCATTCAGCCGCACACATTCCGTACACGTATACTTGCACAGTAAGTGTATTTACAAACACTGCAAATATTTGGCATCTTAGAAAAGCTCTTACAGAGGCTTCTGTTTTCTCAGAGTATTTCGTATAAATGTGCTAGCTAGGAAGCAGAATTGAGTAAACCTGTTTCCTCTAAAAATAATTGAAAATGTTACTCTGAGAGATGCACTTGCTTCACATGTAATCCTAGCTATTATCTACACTACCTGTTGCAGGTTGGACAAATTTAAAGATTATGAGATCTTGCTATTTATGCTGTGTTTACTACTATGGACCCAAGGCACTTCTGAAAGCAATTTCTCCCAAACCCAAAACTGCAAAGCAGGAATCCTGCCATTTGTTAGCTGTGAGCAGCAGTGTGCTGCTGCATACTGTGCTCCTCATCTTGAAAACTTTTCCCACTGACTTCTGAGAAAGAACAGACAAGTGGCTCTTGCTTTTTGTTTCAAAAAGGGAAGCCGGGAGGAGGCAATACAATTATTTTTGGCTTCTGCACACAAGGTTTGCTGCCAGATAAAAACAAAGTTGTTTGTGTTCTTTAGAAAAACCTTTAAAAAACCGGTCTGAAAAATTTCTATAGAATGCATGATCCTTATTGGTAACTGATGCAAACTAAGCGCCTAAAAAACAGGAAGAAGTCTTGGGGTTTACCTTTTTCTCCTACTGAGAATAACATTTTCAGCATTATGAGTGAGGATACAAGCCAAAACACTGCATGCTTCGGACTAATCATGTCCACGCGGGCATCATCAGGTCTGAGTTTAGACCTTTCTTTTGACTTGAATGGGCATTGGATCAGCCGTTCTGCTGCTGTGATTCAGGAAAGCACTTAAGTACCTGCTAAACTCCACTAGACAGACAGACCTCCTGCAGAGCTCATGAGATCAGGAAGAGAAACAGCATTCATGGGATTAGGGAGACATTATTTCCTTTGTGATGGCCGCTTCGGAAATACTTCCCCTGGCTCCAGAGCTGCCCCGCCCTCCCCCTGGCTGTCCCATTGAGCAAGACTGGTGTTTCCAGCCTCCCTTCCTTCCCACAGGGCTGTGGCTCTCCAAAACAAGCTGCAGAAAGAGTGAACTTTTTTTCATAAGTAAACAGTGTACTGTGCACTGTGAGATTGCTTGTTATAAAAACCTAGCCAATCTGTTTTAATTGATTTTTATTATAATTAATATCGAGAGACAATAAGCAAGCAGGGCTGGGTGCGCCGGGGAGGCTCCGCTCCGCCCGAGACGCACACGGGGAACGGCTGGGGATAGTCTCTTTTTGGTTTCCCGGGCTTCTTGGCTTTCAGCCAATCCTGCTGTCTTCTTTTCCCGGGCTTTCTGCGGGTGAAGAGGAACCCTGTCACAAGCCTGACCGCCATCTTAGCCCCCGTAAATTCCACTCCTGATGTGTTTATTTGTTCAGCGCACAACGTTCTGTAACAGGACATATCTCTAAATTACCTATCCCCCCCCCCCCCCCTTCTAAGAACATTCATGCAATTTAAACAATGAACAAAACATTTCTTTGCACAATATTACAGTTGACCCAGGGGAATTATTCCCTTGTTTCTTCTTCCTCCTCACTGTGGTATTGACAGGGACGCTTATCACACCCTTTGCACATAGCACAATGATCACAAGGGATTCCATCTCCACACAAAGTGCAATGATCACTAGCACCCCTGAGTTGCTGACACGAATCACTCTGATGTAACTCACATTGCTAAACCTGCATTTTAGCTAATTAGTCAATAGAGCCTCTATGGAAGATTGTGAAGGCAGACTTCTACACTGGGTCAGCCCTGGAGAAAGAAAACACCTGTACATGAATATTTACGCAGATACGGGCTTGTCTAGTATTTATCCTGCATTGAAATGTATTCTCTCTCCTCTCCTGCCTCCAGCACTGAGCCCCATAATTAAGCAAGTAGGCCTGTTCCTCGCACCAGTGAGCTTGCATCACTGACCACTTGAAGCAGATGTGAGCAACATGTCCCACGATGTGGCATTTACAACACGTGTTTGCTTTCATACCCTCAGTGGGCCTCCTGGCATGGTCCCACTATACACCTCAAATGGCTCCAAGCGGCTGAGAAGCTCCTTCAAAAGGCAGACAACAGCTTCCCCAGCCAAGGCAAAACTTCAGGAGGGATGGGCCCTTCATATAGTGCCATTCAGGTCTTTTGCTGTTATGCACGTGGGATGACCTGTAAGGTGAGAGAGGCTAGAGAAACAGCTGAGCAGGTAGGGTTAGACTTTTCCTCCATTCTTCGTCTTCAATATATACGTTTCTGTATTCAGCCATCATTTTAACACACCTTTAGGAGAGGCAGGCATGTGACCAGAGAAACTGCAGAGGGAGTGTTAGATCAAATATTCACATACACACACATAGAGTGATTTCAACAGAGGATTCCATTTTCTCAGAAGGAGGCGGCCTTTGCTGAAGTACATTTTTCTAGCAGTTAATTTGGGCAAAAAGCCTTCTGTCAAACACTGCGTTCAAACAGGACTGCAAGTTTTCCTTAGAAAGAAAAGCCTTCCTTTGAAATAAACTGTGGTAGCCTAGGAAGCTTAGGCTTTAGTAACCTGCTTCAGTAACTGGAAAACTGTTAAGATACATCATTTTCAGTCTCTGTGCAACTTTGCAGTTGTCTAAGAGCGAGTGCCAGCAAAGAAGTTCCCTTTGCACCACCTACTGTCAACTAAATATGCTGTCAGCTTGACTTTTTCTTTCAAATTGATTCTTCAGGGCCCCCAGCAACCTGATCTGGCTTAGAAGCTGGCCCTGATTGGAGCCAGAGGTTGGACCAGGCCAACCTAAATTATTCTGCAACTGTAAGATGCAGATGAAGAGCAATCACTGCAGTCACATAACTACTGAATCAGGATTGCTCCCTCAGCGGCTGATGTGAGAAAAGGGGACCAGCCTAACTTCAGGCTGCTTGAAAATTAAAGGACACAGAATGGGATAGCAGAGAATCTACAACTCCCCAAATCCCAATTTTTCACATGAAACCCATCACAGAATATTTTATTCTCTCTGTTTTGCTCTGTAGGAAGTAGTAGTGCATCTCCACTGGGAATCATAACCCTCTTTCCTGACAGTCAATAGGAAACGCACACATCTGCAACTCCCATTCAAGCTCAGTGAGATAACTAGCGCTCCAATACAAGAACAAGCTTAAATGCTTTGCTGAGTAAAACTCCAAGCACCATCCCATCCTATCTGTAGCTATGAGCCATCCTCCCACAAGTATTCATTCTTTGCTACATCATATAGAAAGGTTCAAAAGCATGCAAAAAAGTTAACATTTTCTATCAGACTCTGTAGTGCTTTTCTGTAAGGCTAGTAAGTTCAGTTTATTGAGCACTATGACTGCCTGAGCATTTTCAGTGTGCTATAATGCATAAGAGATACTGTATTTTCTAGTACATGTCAATCTTTGAAAATTTTTTAAAGACTGAAATGCTTGCAATTTAATTTTAGGAATGTATTAGCGCATGTACTATAGAGAAAATACATTCATATTCAGCTAGCATTATAATAATTTCTGTTATCGCAAAGGAATCTATTCTGCTGGCATTAAAAATGTACATGAAGATGGACTATTCACCACAATTATCATTACTGTTAAGCCTTTAAAAAGCCTGAGCCCATTACAATTTGATGACAGTTAATGAGAGAAGGAATTCTGTGATTAAAATCCTAAACATTAGAAGAAAAAAATCCAGGATGACATTGTTTGCAGAGAAACACCCAATTCAGAGCTCTAAAATAGGATTTTAAATAATTTAAAATGTTACATTTCCTTAATAAATTAACAATGCATGCCTGAGTAGACTTTTCAGGATGCACTGGAGGATTACTGCAGGAAGGTCAAGTTTCACCAAGAGTTTGTGTATGACGAGGTTGTTCATTTAGTCTTGGAATCAGCGTTTAAGGGCTCCAATGTAATATTTGAACAGCTACAGTGCACAAGCGGTCCACAAAGAAAATGCTGATTGTTTATGAGAGGAAACTATCAGGCAGCCAAAGGTTGAAATCCATAATGATGCAGTAGGCTTTTGTACAGAGGGTGAATTAGGCAGTATGCTGTAAGACTACCAGCATTGAGACCAGCTGCCGTAAACTCAGAATTTGCAACAGCACATCTGACAGTGTTCATAAAATTATACTAATATGCAAAAACATATATGGGGGTCTGTCATGGTAATGATACTACAGATCGGTCTTCCACTGACTGTAAGCTACATACATCTGAGGAAAGCATGAATATATCTTCAAAATTGAAAACTTTAGACATTTCTGCATATACTGTGGTAGATTTTGTTTTCAATGATATATTAAATATCAAGATTTAAAAAAAATGCATATTAAAGCTACCAGCAAGAAAAGGACAGCAATATTTGTGGAGTATGTCAGCACACAAACCAGCATCCTCTAGCACTAAGGAAAGTACCTGACAGATAAGGTTTGACGTACCGAATTATTTTGTCAAGACTTGAAAACATGTGCTACAGGCTTTAAGTGTCCCAGCTGCTAGCAATGCTGAGCAAACCAGTGGGTATCTAACCACAGGAAGACAAAAGAAGAAAGGCTAATTGAGCAGCTTGCTTCCAGCTTCAGAAGCAAATCTCTTTGTTATTGCATCCACATGCAGCTGGCGGATCTATGGAAGACTCTGCTTTGCAACCATGACACAAGTGGCATTTCAGGAGCATTTTGTCTGAGGGCTCAGAGAGGCACACAGAGTAGCATTATGCTTCTAGACATGAACTAATCACTTGAATAAATGTGTAGCATCCTTCTGAACCAATTCTACAAGGATTCTACTGAAAAATAAGGCAGACAAGGTCCTTTATACTTGGAGGTCAGTTTCATGAGGAGTTCCTCAGAGCCTTAAATGACAGTGCAATTGCATGAAGGCTGGGTGAGTGCCACCAGTGCAGTCCTTGCTCCACACGTCACAGTTTCTGCACCTGCCCTCCACTGTGGGATAAACACGTCAGTGCCTGTTTGCAAAGGGTGACTTCCATCTAGGGATAGCTAGCTCTACACACCACCACCACCACCCCCTCCCCCCCACCCCGGTAATCATGGAAAAACAGAGTCCTTCTGGGATGATTTCCAGAAGAAACCTAGTATGAGTGATCAGTCACCCCTGTTAAAAGTTAAAATACTTCACTGTTAAATACTTACTTTTCCGACCCTAATCATTCTATGATTCTATGTATTTTAAACCACACCTAGCCAAACACAGGGTGGAACAGTACCTTGGGCCAAGTGAAGTATTTTAACTTCAGCTGCCCATGGGCAGTTTTTATCCCCTCTTCCCCTCTTTAGTGCTTTCTTAGCACTCCTGTTGGGAAATGAAGGTCACTCCAGGCACACATGGATGAAAATTACATGGAACATTAGCATGAATTTGGCTAAAAAGAAAGTCTTCATAAAAACTTCCCGGAGGGCTCAGGTAACCCCTGCCACATTTATTAGGAGTTTCTTGCACACCAGTGTTAGAGATAAGCAGTCCACAGCAGTGGGTATGTTGTCTTTTCCCTTGATTTCATTTTTTTGTGTATTTTGAATTTACTTTTTTGTATGCATGGAGATCATAGACAACATGAATAATGTCAGGGCAGAGGTGATTCATTTTTATGACACTTTTTCAGCAATGCCATGTGAGATATGAGCAATACTGTGTCAGTTGCTTTGGCTCATATTTGCATCCAATTGTCAATGAGTGAAATGAAATCTCACAGCTGCCAACATTCAATTTCTGACGTTCTCAGGATTTTCATCATACATCCACAACAGACAGAAAGTAACTCCCAGGTGACTTTAAAGTTACACCACCATATCTATTTCTAAGAATAAAATACGGAACTAGGATCATTTTCAGTAAGTCACTCATGATACTGCATCCTGTATGCCATTATACAATTATATTGGATGCACTTAATAAAAAGTTTATGCTTATGCCAAAAATGCCAGGTAAACACATTTATTTGCTGTATATCGGTCTAAATTGATTGCAGTTAACACAGCACTCTTTCCTCTGAAGGCATCTCAGGATAGACTGCCAAGTTATACTGGCAGATACATATTAGAGGCTTTCTAATGTTCATATTCTAAAGCATAGCAGATCAGCAGTCACAAAGAAGTTTCCTGATTATATGTAATTGAAGAGTTCTTATTCAACAGATCTCAAGTAACAATTTTAGCTTGTAGCTGATCTTAAGGTAAAGAAAGTTATCAAAACACTGTTGGATCTGGACTTTCAGGCTTCAGAAATTCTGTCCCCTCTTTCTTAACCCACTATATGTAATTCAAAGACTCTCAAACAGCTCACTTAGAGAAGGTTGGGCAAAAGGTGCCTGATCCAGACCTCAATGAAGTCAATAAGATTTGTAATGACTTGGATGTACTTGGACCCAAAACCATGGAGGTGCCATATAGTCTATGTGTGCGTTAGCAAGTTCACTGAGGAGCAGATCTGTAGTGACAAATTTGGTGCTAATACTTAATGCCGTTTGGGGGCAAAGGGCTTAGTGCAAACTATTTGCAGTCTGTTCCCAGGGATTGAATGCCAGCAGCCTCTGCTGTGCTGCTGAAGTGACAGTCCAGTATTTACCTACAAAGTGCTTGCAGTACACTAGGCAGATCAGAGTGCGGTAAGTGAGGACGGACCGCTTCACTTCAGAAGCATTTATGCTTGATGAGGCATCTCTACGCTTATCAGTAGGATTATATTTCTTGAACTTCTGTTAAGCATAGAAGCAGTAGCTGCAGTCCCGCAGTCTTGAACATGAATGTTTAGTTGTGACACCATGAAGTATCTATGGCATTGTCATTATTTGGCTTATAAAATAGCAGGCTTTTTCAGATTAAGGGTTCTAAATGATGTTGAGATAGATAGACTAGGTCAAAAGTCTACCCAATACAGACTTTTACCTGTGTAGCAGCCGACACCAGGAGCTTCTGACTCATCATTTAAATTGCCCTAACCTGAAGTGCATAGCAGCAATTTATCCCAGTTAGGCCTACAAGGTCAGATGACAGCAGCTACACAATTCAAGCCCCTTCCTATAGCCTCCTTCGTAGTAGAAAACTAAACAATCAAACAGTTAACGAAGAATTACTGTGTTGCCAGAAATAGCAAGTGCAAACCTTCTTAAGGGAAAGACCTGCAGTCTCGAGGGCAGTCTTTTTGGCTGCTATGGCATGAAACCTGTGAACTGCTGAGTGGTGTGTTTGGGACCCTACCTACTGCAGACACTGCCACTGGTACAGACTCTAAACACAAAAGCAAGCTATTGCTGTTATTTCCTGGAACTAAGAAGATAATGTTAATCTCCTGTGTAACATGCTTTCTGTTATCAGTGCTCAAGGTAAAACAGCACATGGCAGTCTGCTGTGCCACCAATTACATACAGATATATATAAATATAAAAATGTAAAATAAAAATTTTTGTCAGTCTCCCCTTAAAAGAAAATAAAGGTGAGACCACATTCTTCTCAACTTTTATCATATTACATGAAAACTTCTCCCCATCAGCAACATATTTTCAAAGGATTTAAAAGGTTTTACAAGTATGTCTCCCAGGGAGTTTTGTGCAGCCTCACTGACGATATCCCACATTTCTAAAACGCCATGTCTACACAACCCAGCTCTGAACCCTAAGCTTACTCACAAGACTGCCCACCAACATACTTAATGGGCATTCATATTGATCGCATTAGTTCATACTGACTCGGGCCACACTACCCCAGTCAGGTACCAATCCTCAGCAGAGAGGAGAAATCCCCAAAATACTGAGAGCTTCCTAAAGTACAACTCTGCCATAAATCTTTGCACAAATGTTCCCAATTTGCTTCTGTCAGTGTAGGGCAAGCCACCTTCCCTGGGGTACCCTTAAACATACCCCTGAGTAGGGCGGAGGGGGAACCAAAAAAACTAACCTCCTGCCTTCACACCGCAAGGGTGTTCCCAGAGGCACTTCAGGCAGGCAGCAATTTGCAAAGCCACCTTCTCTCACCTGCTAGCCACTTCTTGCCAGGGGAAGATGGAGTGACTGATCACAGGTGGTCACCTCCCTTTCCCTCATTTCCAATGCAAAGCTTTGGTCTACATCTATGAAGGTGTAGGGGACGCACCTTGGCCTAACTGTTCTGGTTTACTTGGCAGCTGTTCCAGGCTCTGGGCACAGCACATGTACATGTGTGTGGCTGCACTGCACAGTGAGGTGCTTTTCCTGTCTTGAAGTCCCATTGAAGTGACTGCACTGATCTCCTTCTAGCCACAGATTTCTTTGGGATCTTAACAACCATGGGCAGCCTAAAAATTCTCCGTGTCATCAAAA